GGCCTCCCGGCCCGCGCCCTGCCGTCGGCAGCCGGCTGTCCTAGGCCCGCTCCAGCCCGGGAGCGGCCAACCCCTCTGTCTGCTGTCCCGGGGGTGGAGCCGCTCTTTCCCCCCAGATGTCCGAATCGCTCGCAAGCGCATATTTTCTGGGTGCCACCGCTCAGCCCTGGGGTGCTTTGCAGAGTTTTCTGACATTCTGCGGTTACTGCTGATCACAGTTGACGACTCTTGGTGTTACAGTTCCCGGATGGAGCTTACGGTGGCATTTCTCTCTTCACTGGATGAAGATGCTCACAGGAGGCGACTCCAGGAAGGGGCTGAGAGGAAAAAATCCATACGCAGTATATTAACCAGGGGTCCCTACTGGGGGCCCCGGGGCTCAGCCGCACCAGGGTCCCGCTGAGAGCCCGCGGTGACACACACTCTGGCACGGGCCTGCAGGGGAGCCTGGCGTCTACCCACCGACGTGTCGCCCGGACCCTTCTCCCTGTCCTGCCTCGCATGCCTGGGCTGTGCGGCGCTTAAGTCTGTGCCAGGGAGAAGCCCCCGGGCAGAGGGAAGCCAGTGCTTGACGGTGACGTGTTCTTGTGCATGGGAACCGCCGCCGAAGCCGCCGGTGGCCTCTGGGGTGGGCCAAGGGGCTGTGGGTGGGTCCGGCATGCTTGCTACAGACGTGTGGCGAGATGCGGGCGACAGAAGGAAACTGGGTGCCGGCGAATGGCCCTGCCTGAGGCCAGGGCGAATTTTCTGGGAAAGTCAGTTGCGGAAGATCAAATGTTTTCCTGACCGGTGTCATTTCATTGTATGTTCAGTGTTGGCCACGGATAATTGGATTTTTCTTTGACCCTGGCAGTCTTGCCAGCTCTCTGTCCACACTGGGAGACCGTGTTTTCTAAACCTCTCGAATACAATCAACTAAAGACGGCTTCCATCGGGAGCCGGCAGGCCTGCCATCTGCAGGCTGTGGTGTCCAACCAGCAAATGGCAGCGGTGTTTGTATTTTCCGTGTCGCCCTGTACAAGAACATTTCAGCTGAAGCAAAAGACTTTTTCCTTCACTCTTCTGTTTTTTGACGGAAATCTTGGTGGCATTAGGCACTTTTAATTCTAAGCACCAGCCTCTAAAGTTCAAGACTCCGTTCTGCTGTTGAACAGTGGTTACCAAGGTGAGAGATTCTAATCACTAGGAACACCAGAAAAAAAAAAAAAAAAAAAAAACACAAGCAGGAGACACGTTTATTAGAAAAGCTGTTGGATAGTATTCATCTGTGGGCAGTGTGGACCCAAGGAGATTATTCCTACATTAAAATCACTCACATTTTGCTACAACTTAAACAGCTTATCTGGTGTCTCAGCTGGGGATATGCTCTTTCCGCATTTAACATGCACCAGAAAGAAAGAACAATGAAGATCTCTGAGATACATTAAGTGACAAAAGCATATATGTAGAACCGTGTTGATTAGCTAATTACTGTATGAAAGGGAAAAAAGACTACATAGTCACATTTGCTTGTGTTAACATAAAAATTCTAATAAAGATATGTGGTACAAGTAGCAACAAGGAAGGAACAGGATTTTTCAATTTATAACTTTGATATCTTTCTGATTTTAAAATGATGCCAATGTGTTTCTGTTCAAACAAGAAGTAATAAAATGCCCAGTGAAGAACATAATCACTGTAATAATGTCCTAAGATAATTTGTAGATAGTCTCAGATGGAAAAATGCATTCTGCAAAATTCAAACACCTACACATAATGAATTATTTGCAGACATTTAGGGAGGTGCGTGTTTGTGCCTGATCACGGAAATTTTTTTTACATCTATGCTGCTACTTGCCATCCAGACAGCAGGGGGAGGTGTTTCTCTGTTTTTCCTCTGCACCTTCCCTGTCTTCCCTACTTGGTTTGCAAAACAGACCAAGAATTCTCTAATTCAAACCCATACACAAAATGCCCCACGTTTTCTAGATTCATGATGTTACTCTCTCCTCCCAAAAATCTTTAGGAGACTTGGAGCTTCCAGCATGCTGCCTATTCAAAAGGGGCTGATGATGAGGTCTGCTGGTGTGAAGTTCGTCTTCCCTCTTCCCTCTGCCTCTCCTTGTCCCTCTACTCAACTTTCCCACATCACTTGCCATGATCAAGTCATAGAAAACAAGACTCACATTATGGAAACTCGCCACATTTTTTTTCCCAC